TCTGTGGGTTGGCACACTCACTGTAACCACCTTGCTCTGTGGGCCACAAAGCCCACTGCATCATCTCATACCAGTCTCCTAGTTCTGCTTCTACCATTTCTCTGCCACTGCTTCTCATCATCTTGCACCATCTTCTCTGTTACAGCTCTCTCTCTCTAACTCCTAGGTCTAGGAGGTTCTCAGCACAGAGACCCCAGGTCCAAAGGATGCACTCCACTCCAATCTCTTCTTCTTGGTGGTAATGCAGTCCCCCCCTCTGCTCTGGAATTGGCTCTCTTTTAAGCCTAGAGAATTGCAAAACTAACCAATACCCTTGTTAGGGTTCCATATACCTTATCTGTATGCTCCCACCCCACAAGGGTGTTATGCACCTTATCTGCATTATTAGCAAGCTGTCCAACCCCTTTGGTGGGCCACAAACACCTTATTTGCACAGCCCCTCCCAATCATTTGGTGAAAGTTAGAAGACCATGGTGGGAAAGGTCATATAAAAGTGACCATTGCACCGCACTCTCTCTCCCAGCTAGAATGTAGGTCCATTGTCTTCTTGTTCACATCTGGCTCTTCCAGGGTCAGAGCGTATGTTCAATAAGTATTTATTAAATAAATGAATTGCAATCAAAGAAAAAAAATTAAAACCATGATAGCTTATAGAATCTGTCTATCAAATTAGCAAAGATTAAAAAAGTGAAAATGTCTTCTTTTTCTTCCTAATACACTAAATTTATGTCATTGTTTAATGTTTGTCTCCCCCCACTAAAATGAAATCTCCATGAAGCCAGGGACTTAGTTTTGTTCACAGCTATATTCCTAGCACCTAGAACAATGCCTGGCATATAGCACCTAAAAACCAAACCCATTGCCGTTGAGTTGATTCCAACTCATAGTGACCCTACAGGACAGAGTAAAACTGCCCCATAAGTTTTCGAAATCTTTATGTAAATCTTTATGAAAGCAGAATGCCATATCTTTCTTTCGAGGAGTGGCTGGTGGGTTCGAACAGCTGACCTTTCAGTTAGCAGCCGAGAGCTTAACCACTGCGCCACCAGGGCTTTGCATATAGTAAGTATCCCATAAATATTTACATACATTTACCGAATAAATTGATAATACCTATGGGTGGCCAGGTAGTGGATCATAGGCTACTGATGAGAATATAATTAATGTACAATTTATGTAGGAAAAAGTGGCAATATGTTTCAAAAGCCTTTAAAGATAGGTATACCTTTTGACTCAGCGATCTCACTTCTAACAGGAATTTATCTTAAACAAGTGAACAAGGGTACAAAGATTATTGATGAGGGAGTTTCCCACCAGGTTGTTTATAATCGAGAAAATTTAGAAACAATGGCATAATATCTATTAACAGGAGATCATAAATAATTACACATCTGAACAATGAAATGCATTAAAATATTGATTAAGATATGTATTTAGTGGTATGGAAAGAGACTCAAAATATATTAAGAGAAAAAGGCAAGCTAAAAAAACCCCACATGTAAAACAAGACTTCATTTTTGCAAAAAGCATGTGTGGGTGGACACACAGGTATGTATGGCAGCACAAGCGCATTAACAGACAAAAGTTTAGATGGACATATCAAAATGTTAACACTGGTTATCTCTGGGTGGTGAGATTAAGGATAAGTTTTATGTTCCTCTTTATACATTTCTAGATTTTCTGTCATAAAAAAAAAAAAACCAAACCCGTTGCCAACTCATAGTGACCCTATAGGACAGAGTAGAACTGCCCCATGGGGTTTCCAAGGAGCAGCTGGTGGATTTGAACTGCCAACTTTTTGGTTAGCAGCCTGAGCTCTTAACCACTTTGCCACCAGCGCTCCTTTCTGTCATTAGGTCAATCGAAATTAACTATCTGAACATGTTCTACTTTTACAAGTGGGAAAAAAAGGATTAAATATTAACGACACACCTCATCAACTCAATGAAGACTGAAGCCCGGGTTAAGAATCAAAAGATCAGAAATGTCAGTTGCACTACTGAGGATGGTTTTCTGACTTCCTGAATTCAAGAAAATTGTATCTCCCGCTCTGCACTTCAAAGTCAACATTTACAAAATATAAAAAAATATAAAACTTGTTTCTTTTATATCATTGCCTGCCAAGCTTGAGAAGGCCAGGCCTGGCTGAGAAGCAGTAACAAAAAGAATAGCAAAAGCTATCACTTGTGCTGGACACCTCCCTTGCATTGCCTCATTAAAAACCTCATAATAATCCTGCCAGGTAAAGAGTAATGTTCCCAAGCTCAAAAACTGAAAGAGATGACAGAATTTGCCAAAGCTCACACAGCTGCTATGTGGAGGGACCTCAATTTGAACTCAGGTCTCTTGGACCTCAGTGCCTTCAGGAAAGCTAGACAAAAGTGCTTTAGGCTTTATAACCTTGACAAGTCTCTTAATGCCTCTGATCTTTTACATGGTTTTCCAACCATCCTTATATAATCTGCAAGAAAGATAAGAGGAGAACAAGCTTGGAGTTTTTAGAATGTTGGAGTAAATATTTGGAGAAGCAAGATTTAAATTGGGTACTGCTCTCTGGAATTTGCCCTGCATTTCTCTTCAACTCCAAAGACTCAAGGTCAAAATGCTTGGCTGGGATGGCCAAGGGGGAGGGAAGCAGTGAGAGGGTGCCCTCATGTATGTGTATGAAGGACCACAATTGACACAATAGACTGGGATAAGGATGGCATCTGTGCACTGAAGAAGGAAGATGGATCAGGATGAAGGAAGACAGACAATTCCTGGGAGGAAAGGAAGCAGGTAGGAAGAAGGACAAAGCTAAAGGGGGACTGAGAGAAGGGGCAATAGTAAAGAGGAGAAACTAGGAAGAAAGTAAGTGATGTATTTTTTCCTCTATACTCTTTTCCTTGATGATCTCAGTCACTGTTGAAGAACTGAAACATGTGAATTATGGTGTTAGCGAAGAATATTGAATATACCATGGACTGCCAGAAGAATGAACAAATCTGTCTTAGAAGAAATACAGCCAGAATGTTCCTTAGAACCGAGGATGGTGAAACTTCATCTCACTTACTTTGGACATGTCATCAGGAGGGGCCAATCTCTGGAGAAAGACGTCATGCTTGGTAGAGGGTCAGCGAAAAAGAGGGAGACCCTCAATGAGACAGACTGACACAGTGGCTTCAACAATGGGCTCAAACATAGCAATGATTGTGAGGATGGCGCAGGATGGGGCAGCAATTCTCTCTGTTATATATGAGGTCGCTAAAAGTGGGCACCGAGTGGACAGCACCGACAACAATAACAGTTTTTTCTTCTCACTATTTTCTCTCTCTACTCTTTTTCTTGATGATCTCAGTCACTATTAGGCCTTCAACACTCCTTTCTATACGGATGACTGCCAAATTCCTCCAGCCCTGACTTCTCTCCAGAGTTCCACTCCCACATGTTCAACTCCTCCAGGCTGGCTGCATCCATCCACTTCCATTTCCCATCAGCATTTAAAATCCGGTAGGTTCAAACTGAATTCAGCATCCCTTCCTTCCCAAGCCTGCTCCTAGTCTTGTACTCGCTCTTACTTAACAATCCACCTGAACTGCTCTCTCTCCCCCATCCCTTCAATCATTCTTTCATCCAACAAATATTTGTTGTGGATCTATTATGACCCACACACTCTGCCACAGCCCTGGGCACATCCACTCACTCACCAAGTCCGGTCACTTCTACCTTGAAAATCTCTTGTGTCTGTCCAAGTCAACTAAATTTTTTACTGAGATTTACTGAGAATCCCTCTTGCTTGATCCAAGGCAACACAACATGTTAACTGGTCTTGCATGCCATTCATTCTATAGCAATCATCCAGCACTAAGCACTGTACCTGGGACACAGATGGGGCTCACAGTGGAGCCCTAGGGACTACAAACCGCTGGAAAGGGGATTGGGGGAGCAGAAGCTAGATTTGTCTTGAAGGAATGTTTGCATAGGAAGCACACACAGGGTTTTACCTAAACTGTATGTTACAAATCTATACAAATAACATCAGTCTGATAATTCTTTTATTTTTATTTCTGGAGCATGGCTTTGGGAGGCTGGGGAGATTACTGGAGGTCTGATGTTGAGTCTTTAGATATAGTAAAAGCCTGCCCACCTACCACCCCTATTTGTTGAATATATCACATTCTACGACAGCGACGGACCATAGATGTTGTGTTTTCTATTGTAGCTCCAGCCCCTAGAACATCTGGCCCTAGTAGGGAGTTCAATAAATATCTGTGGAGTATTCTGGAAAGGCAGGGACCATAGATGTTTTATTCGCCACCTCAGGAAGAAGGTCAAAGTTGAAGAGGTCTGAGGGAAAAGGACATAGTGCACGCTGTTTCGCTTCCTATCCCCTCAGTGCTCGGTACTTGGTAAACGTTTGCTAAGACAAATAAATCACCCTCCTGCATAACTCCAAAATCGGGCCCCAAGCTCGGCAGCCAGGCCCTGGAGCGCAGCCACCATCTGGCCCAGGCCCGAGCTGCCCTCCTTCCCTCCCAGCCTGGGTTTCTGTTACCTCCCCGCACACATCTGTACCAACCACACGCCAAACAATGACACGCTCCGCTTCCCAGCCTCGAGGTCTGGGGCCGGGCTGTTGCCCCGCCAGGCCCCCAAAGCCCCCGACCCGCCCGCCCAGGCTCAGGGGGCTTCCGCGGCCGGGCCTGAGACCGCCGCTCGCTGCGGGCCCTGGCACCCCGCCGCCCCAGGCGCGCAGGACGTCCTCCATGTGCTCGGCCGCAGCTCGCCAGACCCAGCCCGCTGAGGGTTGAGCGCTGAGCCCGGGGGGCCTGGCCGCCTGGCCCGGCCCCACCGCGCTCGGAGGGGCCGGAAAGGCCGGGAAGGCGGCAAGGCGGGAAGCAGCTGCAGCCGTGAGGCGCCAGGGGGCGGCGGGCTGAGCCGCGGGATGGCGAAGATGCGCGGCCAAGGGGAGTCGGCGCTCCGGCCGCGGGGGCTGGGCGAGCGGCGGCTCGCTCACTCACCACGGTCCGGCGGGGCAGCGCGCCGGGGGTCCGGGATAGGGCCCGGCGGATCCTCCGCGCCCGGCCCGAGCGGGGTCCGCTGGGGCTCTCAGAGCCGCTGTCGTCCGAGATCACGATGAACTCCTCCATGGCTGCGGGCCCTGGCCGAGCCAGCGTGCGGACAGCCGGCGACCAAGGCGACGGCAGCAGCGGTGGGGACTTCGGTTCCTGCTGCTGAAGCTGTGGCGGCGTAGGCGACAACCGGGGACATTACCCCGCCAGCCTCGCCCCGAGCCCCGCCCCTGCCGGCCCTCCCCTCCCACCCCGAGCCCCGCCCACGGGCGGCGGGCCACGGACAGCCGGGTCAGGGCCGCCGTCACCGTGCTAGGCGGCAGCACACCGCCTCCCTTCCCAGGAGGGAAAAAAAAAAAAGAAAATCAACTTGTAGCCGGCTTGAGCCGGTGTTGGAAGGCGGGCGTGCGAGGCGCGAGGCTGCGAGGGCTTCCCCAGCAGTTTCCAACTGACTAAAGTGTGAACTGAGGTGTGATCTAGCCTCGCCCTGGCCGAGATGTGAGCAGGCCTCTGACTGAGAGGGGAGAGGGGTACTGGAATGTGGGTGACCAGGACTCCCTCAACATCTGAGGGTGGGTAATTCTGACAGACATAGTAGAGGAGCCCCCAACATCTGAGGGTGGGTGACCCAGCCCCTGACTGATTGTGAAGAGAGGTCCCAATTGTTTGTGCGCATGTGCAAGTGTATCTGTAAGATAAATTTCTGTAAGTGGAATTACTGGGTTAAAGGCAGAGGCAGTAGCTAGGGGGTGTTAGAGAAGAGCATTTGCCCCCGGGCGCAAGTCCAAGGGACGCCAGAGGAGGCTGGGTTGAATCCTTCCCCCTCACCCCACACACCCATCGAGGAGGTTGTTGGGAGGCGCAAACTTAGAAATTGCCTCTGGGAGTTTGTTACCCCCACTAAGCCTCTGGTCAAAGGCTACGTTTATTTTGTTGTTTTGATAAATTTACCCACCTAAATTGTACCAATTTACAGTCTCACCAGCAATGTATGTCTCCCAGGAATTTAAACCATGAAGTACAGAGTCGTTCAGTTGGTAGCAGGATCAGAAGCTGGAAAAAATGCACAAAGAGAAGCTCTGCGGTAGCAGAGACCATGAATTAGATATTACGAATAAACAGAAGTTATAAAGATGTAAAAAGGTATACTGAATGGAGGGAGAAGTGGTAGGTCGTTGATTGGTTGGTTGGTTGTAGGGCTGAAAAAAAAAAACCAAACCCAGTGCCTCAATCGATTCCAACTCATAGAGACCCTATAGAACAGAGGAGAACTGCCCCATAGGGTTTCCACAGAGTGGTTGGTGGATTTGAACTGCCACCTTTTGGTTAGCAGCAAGCTCTTAACCACTGCACCACCAGGGCTCCGGTTGTCGGGCAGGAACATTAAAATCAAAGCTAGGACCTGTGTTACAGTAAATGTGGGATATTGGCAAACTCCTGCTGCTCAGGTTCCAACAACTTTGCAAAACGTATTAACAGATCCAAAGAAAAATGCGTCTATCAAAAGTGGGGTTGGTTCCTAAAGGAAGAGTTGTCTGCTATCTGAGCAAGGTCTAGTACAGTGGGGTTCTCTAACTTTAGTGAGTATCAGAATCACCCAGGAGGCTCGTTAAAACAAGATTGCTGGTCCTCACCCCAGAGTTTCTGATTCAGTAGGTGTGAGGTGGGGCCCAATAATTTGCATTCCTGAAGTGTTCCCCAGTCCGAGGGGGGTGTAAACGGTTAATGCTAGTTGGCTAACTGAAACACTGGAGATTTGACTCCACCTAGAGGTACCTCAGCGGAAAGGCCTAGTGATCCACTTCTGAAAACCAGCCATTGAAAACTCTGTGGAGGACAGTTCTACTCTGACACATAAGGGTTGCGGTGATCAGAATTGACTGGATGGCAGCTGGTTTTTTTTTTTTTTCTTAACAAGTTCCCAGGTGATGTTGACGCTGCTGGTGTGAGGACCACACTTTGAGAACCATTGGTCTAATGGACCGGGAGCTTATGGCTAACACACTTTAGATGTTCTGGTCCAAAAGATGAGATCATCCTTGTTTTCTTCACCTAATGCCGTTAAACATTTAATTTATTTAACTTTCTCCTTGAAACACTGTCTTCCCTAGGCTTCTGTGACTTTATACTCATCTGTTTCCTTCCACCTCTCTTACCACTTCTATTCAGTCCTTTTAAACCCGTTGCCATCAGGTCGTTTCCAACTCATAGGGACCCTATAGGACAGAGTAGAACTGCCCCAGGCAGTTTCCAATGAGCGGCTGGAGGATTTGAACTGCTCACCTTTTGGCTAGCAGCTGAGCTCTTAACCATTGCACCACCAGGGGTCCATTCAGTCCCTTTAGCCTGCTCCTATTTCTGGATCCACTCCTTAGATCTTGATGTTCTTCAGAGTTCTGACCTTGGCACCTTCACACACTGTACCTTATCCCTAGACAATCTCAACTATTCCCATGGCTTCAATAATCATTTTTATGCTAGTGTCTCTTACAAGTTTATCTTCAGCCCAGCCCTGTCTTCAATGTTCCAGTTGTATATATTCAAATGTCTTTTGGCAAGATAACCATGGGAAGCTCACAGGCATCTCAAATTCAGTGTGTCTAAAACTGAACTTACTCTCCCATTCCCCCACCACCACATACTCTTCCCCTTAAAAAAGCCTGCTTCTCCTGTGTTCCCTATCTCAGTAAGTGGTGGTACCACCAGCCAGCCAATTGAGAAACCTGAGTATTATCCTTGATTTCTACCTTTTCCTCCAGTCCTGTCTATTTTACCTCCTAAATGTTTCTGGCATCCATTTACTTCTCTTGGCCTCTGCTGCTATGATTCTAGCCTAACTAAGATCACCTCTGGCCCAGTCTACTGCAGTTTCCTCCAGTATGGTTTCCCTCTTTTGTCCTCTTTCTTTCCTTTCTCCACACTCAGCCGAAGTGATCTTTAAGGAAGTTTATAAATCTGATTATGCCCCCTTCAGTGTTATCCCAATAACACCAAAAGACAAATATATATGTTGTTGTTATATGTATACACTACAACAACACATAGGTCTTTGTTTTATACATGTATATAAACATATGCAAATTTAAAGATAAATTTCTAGCAAGGCTCTTCAAATAATCTGACTACTATTTCTCCAGTTTTATCTCAGAGAAGTCACACTCTTACTCCTCTCACCCATTCTCTGACCATACCAGATTTCTTTCCATTTCCAAGCTCTATGGGGCTCTATGGGGCAGAAATCCTATGGAGCAGTTCTACTCTGTCCTATACGGTCACTATGAGTCAGAAACGACTTGACAGCACACAACAGCAACACTTCCTTACACCATGTCACATGCTGTTTCTTTTGCCCTGAACACTCTTTTTCACCATATGTAATCTCCCTCTTTCAACCATTCAACAAATATTTAAAAGTCTTTTTACAATAGAAAACGTCACACATACGTAAAAGTAGAATAATCAGAACAGTGGCAGAGTTGGGGGTGGTATTTATTGGAAGGTGCATAGTGGAACTTTCTGGGTTGATGGAAACGTCCCATGTCTTGATAGAGTTTGAATGGTTACACAGGTGTATACATTTGTGAAAACCCATCAAATAGTACACTTAAGGTTGTGCATTTCACTGTAAATTTTACCTAAAGAACCAGAAAAATTTCTGAACTCTAGTTTATGATAACGTGCTGTAGAGTTAAGGAGTGAAGTGTACTAATGTCTGCAATTTACTTTGAAATGCATCAAAAATAAGCTGGATGAATGGGAAGATGGACAGATATAGGTAAAGCAAATATGGTGAAATGTTAAAATTGTCAAATCTAGGTGGTAGGCTTATGGGTGTTTACTTTTGACTTTTATGTATATTTGAATGTTTTCAGGATACAATGTTGAGAAAAAAATTTAAAGAAGAGAGAATAGAATGAACCCCATGTGCGCATCAATCAGCTTCAACAGTTATCAACTCATGGCCACTTATATACCCATTCCCCCTGCAGAGCAATAGGTTTCTCTTTTAAAATGGCCTTTCTGGTCATGGTCTTTTAACTCCCACAAAATGATTGGGTGGGACTATGCAAATAAGTTGCTTATAGCCCACCAAAGGGATTGGTCAGTTTTGCCATCCTGCTAGGCTTATATGGGGTCATTCCACAGAGGTTGTTTTTTATGGTGGGAGGGAACCTCACTACCATCAAGAAGAAGAGCCAGGAGCAGAAAGTGTCCTTTGGACCAAAGGTCCCTGTGCCGAGAACCTCCTAGACCCAGGAGACAGAGAGCTGTAACACTGGAGGCAGCAGCGGCATGAGATGGCAGCAGCATGACAAGGCTGTCAGCAGAGGCCAGGCCTGAGCAGTGCCCGGTGACCAAGACCTGCCTGTTGGCGTGGCCGAGAAGAAGCTGTCTTGATTGAAGAACCATATCCTGAGGTGTTCCTGTTACTTCCAAGTTGATCCTGATCTCAAGTTGTAACCTATTACTTCCCTGATAAACCCCATAATTGTATCGTCTGTGAGTTCTGTGTGGCTGCTACAATGAATTATCGAACCCAGCAGAGAAGTAGAGAGTGACATGCAAAGGATGGCTGGTGTCACAATTGGTAAAGAAGCTGGAGAGTGGAGGTATGTCTGACCTCCACCTCATAGGAATCAGCTTTGGGCTGATGCTGATGGTGATTCTCTCTCCTCCTCCTGAAGTTAGATGAGGTCTGACACCACCACTTTATACCCCATCTCCATCTTACTGGATTATTTTAAAGCAAATCCCAGACATCATATCCTTTATTCTGTAAACATTTCAGTTTGCATCTTTAAAAGATAACGAATCTTCATTCAATAAATTGTTATTGAGCACTTATGCTATACTCGAGATACAATAGTGAGCAAGATAGACATGGTTCCTGGCCTCAGGTGCTTATAGTTTAAGAGGAAGACAATAAACTAGTAAATAACTATAAATTATGGTAAGTATACAACCAGTTTGAGAAGCCCCAACTTGTGAGATATTTATAAAGATGAAAAAGTTTTATTTTCCAATAGCCATTACCACTGTCTTTAGAAATCCTCTTATTCTCTGGATAGAGGATTCCC